GACCGGCTCTTGGCATACAGTAGTTGATTCTGAAACCCAGATTCGTGAGGTGAGACGTGAGCATCTCTGTGGAAGAGTAGCAAATTCGTACACTTCGCTCTGAAAGGAAAATCTGAGATTTTCCCCTGTTGCCGAATCCCCTGTTGCTACAGATGCTATAACCCCGTTGAAGGGGGTTTTACAGCAAACTGAAGCCTGTAACCCCTGGTTACAGTCGCAATGACCCAAGGATGCACAGAACACTCTCTCCAAGCCTCCTGATAAAGAGCCAGCGGGTTCTGCTGAACCGATTCCATAGATGGACCTTTGGTGCCATCTAGCGGACAGAGAGAAAACCGGCCAGGATGTGTCTGGCCCTGAGACCATTTTATCTCTTGGTTCATTGTTTTTTTTTTTCATTTTGTGCCACTGCACTCTGAAGCGTTCCATTTTCCCAGGGAGGGAGGGACTGGCAGATGAGAGAGTGGCCCGCCTGTTTGGGTGCAGCCACTGACTGTTCAACCGTGGGAGGGTTATGAAGCCCAAGCTCCTCCATCTTGTTCACATCCAGTGAAGATTAGCCCTTGATGGGCACTCTATGAGAGAAGGGCTTATCCCACGATCGCTTCATCTCTGCCACGCACGCCGGTAAAATGGGAAGCAGTTGTTTTGCTGGGGGAAGGTGAGAAGGGAGCCTTTTACCGTCGTAAATATCCTGTTTAACTCCTGGGTCCCCCAGAGTTACGGGCCAAGAGATGTTAAGCTTAGCTGATGCATGCTTACAAGTAGAGGTGGAACGATTACCGGATTGACGATAAATCATGATAAAATTCCCCACGGTTAGTATTACCGTTTCATCTTTTAATTATCATTAAAACCGTATTCGATTACCGCGATTTGAACAACTCAGGATAAATAAATACTGTCCAGCATAAAGCACAGTTTTAAGTAACAGTTGCACGTGCGCACAGCACACAGAGTAGTCTCGTTTTGTGTGAAAACATGGTGGAAAGCTGGGAGGTTTTAAAAGAGTGCTAAGGGAATTATACAAATGATTATACGAAGGAATTAATTATATGAATGTAACTCTGAAGGTTCTGACTGTCTTCAGAAAAGATTCGATGGCATTTTGTTTTCACCTTCACTCCATGTAATATCTAATAAAGTAGTGTTCTTAATCGCATTGCTGCTCTGTCCACGAAGGTTACGGGAAACAGCTCTAATTAAGCTATTCCATTAGCGCCACCTAGTGTCAGAGAGTGGATTTACAGAGAGTTACATTTACATTCAGCCTGTGTGCAGTTTTTGTCTGGCCAAAACATTGACCGAATTTGCATGCCCTGCTGTAAATTTTGACCGGTTGATGAAAAACAAGCTGATGTGAATTGTACACATTTAAACAATTCGGATAAGGTATCTAGAATTATTTATGGAGCAGATAAAATACATATGATCATTTATTAATCATTTATCATTTTGACTTGACCCTTTTCTTTATTTAAAGGCTGAAATGTGCTGTTTACCATTTTATGAAACTTTTTCAAAGCTTTATTTGAACATTTCATACATGCTATTAGATCCGGACATCCGGACATCATTGGTAAATGTTATTGTTTTAGTGTTTATGCAAACAAAAAGTAATTTTATATATTGTTTGTTGATTTTAAATACAAAACATAATTTATGTGTCAGTACTTTTTGAACATTTCCAGCACATTTTAACAAAACTGAAAATACTGATAACAGTGCAAAATTTGTTCACTATAATCGTGATAAGAAATTTTCATAACGTTACATCCAGTCCAGATGGTGGATCAGCACCTAGAGACGACCTCTACAGCCCTGAATGTCAGCGGAGACCATGTCAACTAGATGCGCCCCAGAGACAGATCCCTTGTGAAGACCTCTTTACCTCGATGACCATCGGCACAAGACCATGGGAACCAGACAAGACCTCTGCACCGGTGTTGCAGCCTGGAATTAAACCACACCATGCTGGTTTCGTCTGGCCCCCCGACTGAGCC